AAAGAGAGCGCTATCAGGGAATTGACAACAATTCCCACCGTTGGCCTCTCAGATATTGTAATTGAGATTCGTGCAAAGTTTGCGAAGAGGCGGAGGGTGACAACTACAGCTCAACATCCAAGTTCCCATCAACCGTTAGCAGCCGGCGCCAAGCCACCATCATCTAGTTCAAGTGAAATAGGAAATTTATCGAAATCACCTGACACACAAAATCAAAGCGATCCAAAGCCCAGGCAAATAACTCAGCCCATACTTAGTTACGACGAATTTAAAAAAAAGGTATATCCACACGCCCGGGGGTCAGTTCTTGTGCCGTTGGCAGTATATGATGTTCCAACTGGTGTCAAACCGTATGTTCTTCCTGAAGAAGGTGAAATTACAAAAACAATTGAATCCATGAACGCTAAAATTGACGTGAAAGGAAAAGGAAAAGCAAAAGCTTATTGATTTATTTACTACCTTTTTATGAACTTTTTTTTGTTTACAAATATTTGAATTTTTTTATCAATATTTCTAAACTTAAATTACCATTCTCATTTTCCATTAGAACTAATTTATTAATTTTTTATCTAAACTACCAGAAAATTTTCATTTTACGTCGATGTATTTTATTTGATTAATTCATCTACATAACGATAACGATACTTTCCGAATAAAGAACCACATGACTTATAAACGTGTACAAAAATAAAAGTTGTTCAATTACGACAATGACATGTATGTTTCTTCATTAAGTCATAAACTTGTTATGTTTTCCGAGAACTCTCACTCTTTTGTCTTTGCAATGCAATTAGGCTTTAAAAGAATTCAACCTTTGATGCAGTTTTTTGTCATGATATGTTGTATTTCCATACAATGTATATTATTTCTGATGACTATTTCTGCAAATGGGACACGATAACCACCTTTGATAATTTTGAGATTAATCGATTTTTGACTGTAAGAATAAAAAAAATAACAGTCATAACAAAATAAATAAATATAATGCAAGTTTGTTAATACACACATATGATAGTTAATAGTTAATACATAAAATCCCCTTCACCCTTTCCCATAATTACTTATTCGCTCACCTTTTGAAAACGCCCAAATTGAATGATACGGCACAGGATTTAGACCAACAAGTGAAATTAGTCTAATTGCCCTCTCCCGCTCACACAGTCACGGTGCACAAATTTCCCCAAATCCAACTTACCTGTATTATGCACTTCACTTACCATATTACATGATCTACAATACATTTAAAAGAACCCTTGTTTTTCGAATATTTCGACAATGTTGCATTCTCCGTTATCCATTTGTATATACACTTTAAAATTTCGAGTTTTATTGTATTTAAGTAGTGAATTGAACAAAAACGAACAACTTTTTAAGCGATGTTATTATATTGCTATATACCGGAACATCTTAAATTTTTATCACCTTTCTGGACATTGACCCGATTCGGGCATACATATGAACAAAAATTACCAGCAGGTCAATGTCGATTGATTTGATCTAGAGTTGAGAAAGAGAAGTTTTAGATTTTTCAGAAACGAACAACAATTCTCGTAAATAATAACAAAACATTTTTTGTAAAACGTATCGCTAAACATTGATGGTCTACGCGCGTTTTATTTGGTTACCAAATTAAAAAGAAATTTTTTGCGTTGAGCAATTTTTAGTTGGTGGTAAAATTAGTAAAGTTTTGGGTTTCGTCCGAGCTCATGGGACTCATCAGTTGGCTTTTGCGAAAACTTCGCATTGGAGCAATGCCAATACCCAAGAAATCCTTACTTAAATTAATTAGGTATTTCTAGGGTAATTAATAATAGAAAGAAAATCAACGGAAAAAAATAAAAAATCCACTTGTCTCTTTCCACGACTCTCCTGTATTCCCATCATCTCTATCCAAAGTTTCCGAGATACCCAACGCCTTCTCCACCAGGCTTCTTCCGTAGCGTGGTGACGGGTTGTTCAAGCCGGCTTGCTTCCGAGATTCTATATCGCTCTAAAACGAAAAAAAAGCAAGACACGGCGAGACAATAGCACAGCATTTATTTATTAATTTATTGATTTAGTTTAGTTTAATACTTATTCCGCAGCCAATAATCCAAAGTCTCCGAAGATTCCCAACGCCATCTCCACCAGGCTCGTAACCATCGCGTGGTGGCGGGTTGTTCAAGCCGGCTTGCTTCCGTAAACCTTAAGCTAGAAAATAAAAAAGTCGCGAGCAGCAAGTAACATGGCAACAAGACAAGCCTTTACCCTCCGTTCTGAATCGTTCTAAAGTCAAACAAGTTAAACACAACCACCGGTCTAGGAAGAAATCACGCAGTTAACACGATATACCGTTCCAAGAAGTCGTCGTGCTGGCTTGCTTCCATAAACCTTAAGCTAGAAAATAACAAGTCGCAAGCAGCAAATAACATGACAACAAGACAAACTTTACCCTCCGCTCTGAACCGTTCTAAAATCAAGCAAGTTAAACACAACTACCGCTCTACGAAGAAGTCACGCAGTTAACACGATATACCGTTCCAAGTAGTCAAGCACAAGAAGAAATAGCGTCGCGTCCATTCCAAGAAGTCGTTATGTTGTTAGGCAAAGCAATAATAAAAAGTTAACAAAAAAAAAGAAATATTCATTTTATAGTTACGATTCTTCTATCACTATCAGTCATCTATTATGCTATAGATACGCCTCATGACGAGGCTATCGTGTGAAGAATACTCAGCGTAAACATAAAAATCTACCCCTATTAGTTTGCTATCATCAAAAATCATACTACATATATTATTATGTAATACAGTCTCAGATGGTCTGATAGGCATGTGTGTTACATCAATAAAAAAAATTCGCAAACTGCGCTTTAAAGCGATTAACTTCTAACCAAAGGGTCGAGAGAGTTGACTATTGACTGTATAATAAAAACTTGAATATTAATTTCAATTATTTGTAATAGTTTTTTTTTTCTCAATAATCTACCCCGTAGTTACTGTTGTGTGATATGCACTGTTTACGAAACTAGCGCCACTCGCATGAAGATCTTATAATACGATCATTGTGAAAAATGCATTATTTTTTTTTCAAAAAACAATTACATCGGCCCAATGAGATGTTCTTATATGGTTTTATACACTTATATATAGATACAATTAGTTACCTTTATAGTCATCAACAAACAAAACTATATTCAATGCATTCCAACACAACAAGCAACATCCAACGAATTTGGATTTAATGCATTCCAACCACAACAAGCATTAACCAATGTATCTGGATTTAACACACTCCAATCATGCCAACAATCAGAGGGAATAGAAACAGCAGCAGTGAGAACCAAAGGCAAAGAACCTGAACTTTATTATGTCAGCAACCAACGAATGGATTCAATGTTTTCCAAGCACAACAAACAGCAACCATCGAATCCGAATTTAATGTTTACCAACCAACAAGCAGACTTGGATTTAATGCTTTCCAACCACAGCAAGTAACAACCAATAAACCTGGCTCAAGTGAGACTTCTCGCCTCAAAATCTACAAAGTAAAAATTGTCGGACTAAGAAAAGCTTTTGGAATTTTATGAATAGATTGCTGGATTTAAACAAATTTGAGGTATTTCATATTCAGGAACTCAAATTGTATTTGTATCATAAAGATATTATTATATAGAATAAATTAAATCGACAACGAAATATTCAAGTTTAAAGTTTTCTAATGCCAACTATTTCATTTGTATGATCTAAATTAAAGTAATCATATATAACCTATGATTAAAAAGCAAACAAAAATGCTGCCTAGAACTTAGTAAATACATAAAGTTAATAAAGGTAAATTTAAAAAAATTTAAAAAAATCTTGATATGCTATATTACTCTCAATTTAAGAAATCGGTCAGGTAATTTCAACGGAGATTGCATTGGTAATTGAAATTTGTAACGCATTTTTATTCTCAACATTATATCCCCTTAATCTCATCATTATTTTCTAACAATCTATAACAATATATATTAATTACAGAATCCTTACATCCATTTCCCGTAAATGTTAATTTTACCTATGAAACTGCCTTTTATGTTCTAACAAAAAAATGTTCTTTATGAAATTTATTATACATATTTATACACGCATTATAATATAAAAAACTTAATATTTCTTATATTTAAAAAATGAAAATACTATATACAACGAAGGGGGAGAAAGTGCAGAGAGTAATAAAGTGACGGGTGTTTTTTTGTACTGTTGTGTGACCAATATCAACATAATAAAAAATATATACCGATATATAGCAAATGTGATATGATCTATCAAAAATATGGTTTATTTAATTTTTGCTGATCTCTATATGTTTTTTTTATTGTTGATTGTGTACGGATGGCTATGCAACCCATGTACAAGAAAAAAATGTAAATCACGAAAGCTTTATGATTCTGATTACATGTACCATGCATTAAGCCAGTCCCCAGATAGCCAAGTTAACTTCACGAATATCGATAAAAATGTGTTAATCATAAACACATATATCATTAGTTATTTTTGAACGATGACATGATGGTGATGATAATGATGATAGTGATGATGATACGGTTTTACCGACACATGTTATTGGAAAATACGTGAGAAATCGATGTATTTTTATATAATTGGACAAGTGTGTGCGTGTATGGGTGCTCGCATACACACGATAAATGATAATGTCACCTGAAAATTGCCAGTGACTGCAATTTGAGGTCGTAAATTATAATATATAATATAAATTGAAAACTGCAGTCCTCTCCTTAATACTGAGTGAAACGGGGTGGGTGTCCAATGCAACAGTGCTTCATCTGATATTAACAAGATTTTTCTTCTTTGCAATTTTATGCGTTGCCAAAACACTATCAGACAAAAAGATAATTTGTTGAGCACGATTAAAGTGCTTCAAGACTCTGCAACGCCTGCGGATCAATTTTGGTTGTTCCTATCTAAATCTAGATTTCCCCTTTAAATCATACATGTATGTTAAATTAATCAATAATTCAACAAATTCATCTTTAAATTTATAATAATAAATAGTTCTTTCATTATTATTCTATGTACAGCAATAGATCAATCTTTTATATCCTGAACACAAGTTAATAATAACTCAATTTGTTATATTTAAAAAAAATATTTTTGTACAATGTGCAATTATAATATTTTATTTACATGTAGTAATTCTTTCAACATGTATAAACAAAACTTTAGAAGGAATAATGCAATTTAAAATATTATTGCAATAATAAGATACATGCTTGATGCTTAGGATTAGAATCAGAATTAAAATAATTAGACATAAAATATGTGTATGTATTTTGCTATTTTCAAAAAAGTTTGTTAACTCATTGATCTTGTAATTTAACTCTTAAAAAATCATATTAAACAACTTTATTTGTCATATCAAGGATATTACATCTGATAATATTATATTATATACATATTTATTATAATATTATATTAAATAAGACATATATAATCTATTTTTAGATATTTGCTAATGAATCTAATAAGAAAGCAGTATTTGATTTAAATAATATAAAGTCAACTCTTACTAAATATATATCTCTTGTAATCATAAAACTAATTTATCAAAATATATATTTAAAGAGAATATACATTTAGAGAGAGTAAATTTTATAAGAATCTTATAAGGTTAAAACTAAACTAGAGCTATATATTTAAAGAGAATATATCTAATATATATATTTATAAAATATATATTTAGAAGAGTTAACTATAGTTAGACTTCTATTTATTAGCTAAGTTATCAGACTAAAATTTGCATAAAAATTTATATTAATATTTTTAATAATTAATAATATCTATAATTTTAATAAATAACTAATTTTTATTATTAATTAATTTGATATAATATAATATAAATAAATAAAATATATAATTAATATAAATTTTAATATCAATTTTAATATTAATTTAATATTAAAATATATTATTTAGTTTAATAAATTTGTTTTATTTTTTTTATTATAAGAGAAAAAGCTTATGTAAAATAATAAGTAAAAGTTCTTTTTTATTATAAATAGTATTGATATTTTATAAAACTAAAAGACAAAAAAAACTTTATTTCAAATAATAATATAATATTATTATTATTAATATTATATTATAATAATTATCTTATTATAAATAATATAAAATAAATCATTCTTATAATTATTTATATAATTAATATAATCTTTTTTGATTATTATAATTAAAACTTTATACTAAATTATAATTATAAAAGAAAATAAATTTATATTTAAAGTTTTTAAAAGTTAAGAAATAAATATTTATAATTATAATAAAATTATAAATTAAATAATATTCTTTTCTATTTATCTATCATATAAAAATAATAAATAAAATATATAAAAGAAGTTAATTCACATTCTTTTTGATAATATATCTGAATTTAATTAATTTAAAAGAATTTAATCTTAATATTATAATATTTATAAATATTCTTTATATTTATTATATAAATATTCTAGTAACTTAATTTTAATAAATATATTTAATATATATTCAATATTTTAATAATTTCAAATAATCAAAAAAAATTTATAAAAAAAATTATATAATATAAATTAAATTATTATTTAAAAAAGAAAGAAAAATATTTAATTATTAATATATTTTATTTATTTATTATTACAAAAATAATCAAACTTTATATTTTCTAAATTATTAATTAATATATATAAAAATATTAAATTTTATATAATATACAATTATAATATGAATTATATTATTTAAAAACTATTATAAATAAGTTTATAATATAAAATAATTTTTATTTATTTTTTATATTAATATTAAATTAAATAATTAATTAAAATTTAATATAAATAAAATAATTATAAATTATATTTTTATAAATATATTAATTTTAATAGATTTACTCTAAACAAATAAATAATAAAAAATTTTATTAAGTAATATTATTTTAATAAATTAATAATTAAGAAATTTTATATTAATTAATATATATTATAATTATTATTTTTTTTATATAAATAAATTGTATATTTATAATTTAAAATTAAATATAATAATTAATTTGATTTCAAATTAAATATCATATTAATAAAATTTTTTTATTAAGAAAATATAATAATAAATAGATTTAATAACAAATAATTTTTATGATATTATAAATATAATTAAATTTAGTCTTATATAAACTTTATATATAATAATAATAAATATTTATATATTAAAATAAAAATTTTTGATTAAATTATATAAATTATATAAATTATTTAATTAAAATTATTATAATTTCTTATAATATAATAGCAAATTTTTAAAATAATAATAATTATATAAAAAATTAAATTTTACTAATTTAATTTTTATATATAATCTATTATAAAAAGTTTGATATATTAAATAAATCTTAATAAATATTTTTTAAAATAAAATTTTAATACTGTCTTATTTAATTAAGTTTTTAGATATTAAAATTTATTTAAATATAAAAATTTTGAATTATTATTTCTTAAATTTTATTATATATTATAAATTAATAATAATAATTTTTTAAAATATCTTTTTTTAAAAAAGATAATTTTATTTTGATTTTTTTTAGTAAAATAATGCTTTATTTATTATTAAATTAAAATATAATAAAAATAATTAAAATAGTATAAAAAGTAAATTTAGATTATTTTTTATTTAATATAAAAAAAGTATAAAAATTAATAAAATTTGAATAATTTTTATTAAAAATAATTATTAATTTTTATATTAATATATCAAACTTTTTATAATATATATATATAATAATTATTTAATATTTTATTTTTAATAAATTTTAGTTTGATCTATTATTTTATAATATTAATTAAAAGAAAATTTATTTATAAAATAAAAAAATTCTAAATAAATTTTAAAAATTATAAAAATTATTAAAAATAAATAATTTTTATATTAATATATTAATCTTTTTATAATAGTCTATATTATATATATATATAATAATTATTTAATATTTTATTTTAAATAAATTTTAGTTTAATCTATTATAACTTTAATTAAAAGAAAATCTATTTATAAAATAAAAAATTCTAAATTTTAATAATTATTATTTATAATTAAAATATTTTATTTTAAAAAAAATTCTCTTAATATTATTATATAATAATATAAAGTTAGTAAAAAATAAATTTACATCAAAAAGATAATATTATTAATAGCTTTTTATAATAAAAAAATTTAATTTAATAAATTATTATAAATTTATTAATTGTTAGATATTTTATTAATTATTACAAATTTATTATTACAGATTTTATTATATTATTAATTATTATAAAATAATTTAGATATTATTATTTAAATTTAATATAATAAATTATATAAATTTTATTCTGAAACTTATCTAAATAAAAATATTTTATAAGAAATTTTATTTTATAAATCAGTTTCAAATTGTTAATTTTTAAAATAATAATTTTTCTCTTAATAGTACTATTACTTTTATTAAAATATTTTATTTATAATTCAAAATATATTTAATAAATCTTAAAATACTTATTTAATAATCAAAAACTTAGCAATTATT